AATATAATAATTCAAAATATGATTTATGTGTTTTCATTTGCTCTTCATCCTGGTATATACTTATTTTGGGGAGTAAAAAAGAATGAAAGGTAAAAAATAGATAATATCTATCAATCTATCTATCATAAGAATAGAAGAAGAATAGCTGGAGAGAATGATCTTTCCTATAATGATCTTTTATATAACTATAATTTTTATCTATATTGATAGATCGATAAGTAAATATAATGGTTGATAGATAGGTAGGTAGGGAACAATATGGTTAAATGGATAAAAAGATAGATAGGTAAAAAAATGGGTAAATAGATAATAAGATAGGTAGATGGGAAGATAGATAAATAGATAAAGAAGATAGATAGCCAGAATGATGGATGTATGAACAAACAAACTGAAAGACTCATAGAATTTAGACAAAATGATAGATAGATAGATGGATAAAGATATGCATATTAATGAATTTATCTACATACATACATTCAGAAATGTATAAGCATCCTGACGATGATGGTGTTATGAAATAAAGATGATAAACAGATAAACATATGGAAATGCTGAATCAAAAACTAATAATAATAAAAAATGAAAAAAAAAACTAAGCCATATGATAAGATTAAAACACGTGAGAGTTTTCAAAACATTGTTTATCGATATGTATCCTAATATTGTTAATCTCCCTCTCTTTGTCTCTCTCTTTCTCTCTCTCTCTCTTTATCTATCTATCTATCTATCTATCTATTTCTCTCTCTGTTTCCCTCTCTCTCTCTCTCTCTCTCTCTCTCTCTCTCTCTCTCTCTCTCTCTCTCTCTCTCTCTCTCTCTCTCTCTCTCTCTTCTCTCTCTCTCTCTCTCTCTCTCTCTCTCTCTCTCTCTCTCTTATGCCTTCTTCCATTCTCCACATTTTTCTCCTCCCTCCTTCTCTCCCTTTCTATCCCTTCCCCCACTCTCTCTCACTCTTCTCTTAATCCTCTTCTTCACCCACCACCCTCTTCCCTCCTCTCTCTCTCTCCTTTCACATCTTTCCCCTCTCCTCTCACCCCTCTTTATCTTCTCTCCCTCCTCTTTTTTTCACTCTCTCTCTGCGTTTCATTCTCTCCCCCCTTCTCCCTCATCCCTCCCCGTTTCACCTCCCCTCTCTTCCCTTCCCCCTACTCTGTGCTCCCGTCTCCCCACCTCCTCCCTCATCCCTCCCTCTCCCTCCTTCCCCTCTCCCTCTCCTCTTACCTCTACATCTACCTCCCCACCTCTTCCTCTCTCCCTCCCCCCTCCCTCTCCTCCCCCTCCTCATCCCCCTCACCCTCCTCCTCCTCCCCCCTCCCTATCCCTCTCTCCTCTCCCCTCATCCCGCTCCACCCCCCCTCTCCCCTCTCCTCTCCTCCCTCCCATCCTCCCCTCGCCCTCTCCATCCCACCTCTCCCACCTCCCTCTCCCCTCTCCCATCCCTCTCCTCTCCCTCCATCCCCCCTCCCCTCCTCTCCTCCCAACACCCTCCCTCTCTAGAACAAGATAGATTGCGTGCAAATTACGCCACCTGACCCAGAAGAGCCATTGATCGTAGCCTCTGCCCTTCGTGTTCTGCAATCGATAATCGCGTTGGCTCATTAGTTCCCTTTATATCATCATTATTCTTTGTTTTCTTTATCTTTTCTTTTTGTTTTTTGTGTTATTTTCTTTTTTGCTTCTTTTTTTTTTTTTTTTTTTTTTTATTTCTTTTCTTCAGTTCATTTTTTCTTGTTTTTTTTACTTATTTAGTCATCTTTATTTTTCAGTTCTTCTCTTTATCTCTTTTTTTATTTTTTTTTTTCTATTTTTTTCTCTCGTTTTTTGAGGGGGGGGGCGGAGGGGCAACGCAGCACACACACACACACACAACACACACCACACACACACACACACACACACACACACACACACACACACACACACACACCACACACACACACACACACACGCACACACACACACACACACACACGCATATACACATACATAATATTACTAAGACCAAAACAAAATCCGTCACTGTCTCATAGGCCTATATATTGTATTTCCTTTCGTAATTCTGAATATACAACCATCAACTAAATTGCAAATTCACGATTTTTTGCACTAGCCTTCTGCAACGCCATCAATTTTGCAAGTACATGAAAAAGATTTCTGAATAGGAAATGACACTAATTTTCCTCTGTATCACGCGGTAGAGATAAGAGACCATTAATAAACAAGTATAGCGTGAGTTGTACTGCAGGAAGTTATAAGTTTCAGGTGTTGTGGAAATCGTGGTTCGTTTTATATTGCAGAAAGTCTATAAGGAATTCATTGTGATTTTTTTTTTTTTTCGCTGATAATCAGTTTCTATCTCTGATTTTTTTTTTTTTTTTTTTTAAGTGTATGACTAAGAAGAATTCATGTTTTCGTTCATTTTCATAGTGAATGATCTATGGCTTGGGGCAATTCAATGTCTGAATGAACGATGGTTTTCAAAAGCGGTCGATTTTGTGTTT